AGCCAAGATGTCAAATGATCAGCCAATGAACCTTCTGGCTTAAGAAACTAAGCGCCCACGATTGCACAGCTACAGGACAAGTTAAAAAGGTATGATCAATATCATCAATTGGAGCGAGACATAAAGGGCAAGAGGTATCTAAATGGAGCCCTTTAGTATTGAGTTTTGTGCTGGTTGGCAGTATATCTTTACATGCCTTCCATAAGAAAATTTTAATTTTCTCAGGAAGATTCAAGTGCCAAAGCCGAGACCAAACATTTTGCTTTAGAGTACTACTACTTGATGGCAAATTCTCCCAATTAAAAGATCGCTGCTTGATCAAGTGATACGCACTCTTCACAGTAAAATATCCATTCTTTGAAAAGTGCCAGATTAGCTTATTCCTATTATGAGTGTCTCCAATTGGAATGCTTTGAATTAATTCAATCTCCTCAGGCCAAAAAAATTCCTGCAATAAGTCAACTCGCCAAGTCTTTCGCTCATAATCTATTAGGCAATGAATTGTGGAATTCTCCGGCAATGCAGTAGACCGCGACACGATTTTAAAAGTAGATGGCCGTGGAAGCCACATATCTTTCCAGATTTTGATAGACTCGCCAGAACCAACTCGCCATCTACTTCCTGCTTCTATATACTTCCTGACCTCACGTAGTCCGCGTCAAGACCAGGAAGGCCGTGATCCTTCTTGAGCTTGGAAGAAATCAGTATTGGGAAAATATTTAGCTTTATATACCGATGAAGAAGGCTAGATGGTTGTGTAGAAATACGCCACGCTTGCTTAGATAACAATGCAAGATTAAAAGTCTTAAGCTGCCTAAAACCCATTCCTCCATCTTCTTTTCGGCTACAAAGTTTATCCCAACTAACCCAGTGAATTGGTCTAGCCTTATTTCCATCACCCCACCAAAATTGCTCATCAGTGATTGGATATCCATTAGCAAAGAATCTGGAATTTGAAAGAAGACATTGAATATGTGGGAATTGCCTGAACCACTGCTTTTAGCAAAATTTCCTTTCCCCCTTTTGATAACCGTTGTTCATTCCATCCTTGAATTCGTTGCCAAATTCTATCCTTGATAGAAGAGAATACCTCACATTTGGAGCGTCCAATAATGGTGGGAAGACCAAGATATTTTTCATGTGCAACCACTTCTTTAATATTCAGGAATTGAGTGATGTCTTGTCGGGTTGAGAAATCTATGTTACTACTAAAAACCACAGCTGATTTCTCAAGATTGATTTCTTGCGCAGAAGCTTCCTTATATAGTTGCAAGATATCCTGAATATGTCAAGCTTCTTGTAGGGTAGCTTTGCCAAATAACAAAGTATCATCTGCAAATAATAAATGAGAAAGCTTGGGGCCACTCTGACCTATTCGAACTCCTGACAATTTGCCACAAGCCTCTGCTTCTTGTAATAGACAGGAAAAAGCCTCTGCACATATAAGAAATAAATATGGAGAAATTGGATCGCCTTGTCTAATGCCCCGCTGTGGTCGTAGATAACCAAATTGAACACCATTTAGCTGAAAAGAATACGAAACAGTAGAGAAACAACTGGAAATAAGATCAACAAAAGATGGGTGAAAACCTAAAGCCAACATCATTCCTTTAAGAAAAGGCCACTCAACCCTATCAAATGCTTTGCTCATGTCCAATTTAATGGACATGGATCCCTCTTTGCCTGCAGACTTTGATTTAAGAGAGTGGTTAACTTCGTAAGCGATCAGGATATTATCCGTAATGAGACGACCAGGAATAAAAGCAGACTGAAAGGGCGAGAGAATTATTGAAAGAACTTTATTTAATCTATTGGCTATAACCTTAGAAGCTAATCTATAAACTACATTACATAAACTAATTGGACGAAATTGAGTTATATTGGATGGACATTGGCATTTTGGGATAAGCACAATGTAAGTGAAATTCAATTGATCATCAAAATGCCCTTTGTTCAGGAATTCAAGAACACATTTCACTACATCTTGACTAACAACATGCCAAAATTTTTGATAAAATATTGGGGACATGCCATCAGGACCGGGAGATTTAAAAGGATGCATTTGATTTAAAGCTTGTGTTACCTCAAAAGCTGAGTAAGTTCGCATCAGTGAATCATTCATTCGTTTAGATACCTTAGGTTGCACCCTTTGCAAAACCGCATCAATTATCTTAGGAGATGGCTTTGAACTGGAAAAAATGGACCCAAAATGGTCTAAGATAATGTTCTCCAAATCATCATGGGAGTTGCACCACTGCCCTACATCATTGAAAAGGCCATTTATCTGATTTTGCTTCCATCACTTGGATGCATGTGCATGGAAGAAAGCTGTATTCCGATCCCCCTTTCAATACCAGTGAGTTTTACTAAAGGAAAGTGTAATTCATATAGATAACTTGTACAATTCTATAAATGAAAATGTAAAGATTAGATAATTATTCACAAAGAATACAAACAGGTCAGTTGTGTTAGAATTACATAGCGTAATCTAAGGATTACATATGAATTACCTATTGTTGATTTGTTGACAATAAGGGAAGGTTGTAATTGATCCCTCCACCTGTATCTCGTTACAATCCACTCCAACACACACCCCCCGGGGGCATAAAACCCAAAAAAGAAATGGAAAGAAGGGTCTTCCTCCCTCCCCTTGTTTTTGGATGTGTAATATTATATTTAGGATTAATCCTTTATACATTATCAATTTCAACATACTCTAATGGTTGGAAACAAATAAAGCATGTAATGTAATTTAGAGTGTTTTGGGGCCTAGAGTAGTAAATTGATCCTTGTTTGGATTGATATTTTTTAAGGGCGTTTGTAGAAAAATGTATTGTAGTGATTTGATGTATACAGGGATTTGATGTAGGCAAGTAAAAAAAATGATTGGAAAGTGTGTTCAAGAAAAAAATAAAAACTTTTGGTGAAAAAATGGCTTTCCAAACAAGGAAATCTTCTTGTATAAAAATGCTCTTCCAAATCTGGTTATATTTTGAGTTTTTGTCTCCATTCCTGCCTCCCCCCATGGGGGGGCCTCCCCAATCTTCCTCTAGTGCCTGGTTGGATTTTAGCTGGTTAGACAAACCAATTTCATGTACGTGGTCGAGGAAATTGCTGCTTAGTTCAAATATTATTTACTGAAGGTTCAAATACTGTGCAAATTCTGAGTAGTGTATGGGTGGCAGCGAGTATTTTCAGCTAAAACAGCTTGCTAAAATTATTGTCATTGATTAACAAGGAGTCTTCTTACCCTATTTTTTCCCACCAATTGAAGACTCGACTAAGTTGAGTAATCACATGACTTGGATGCCTTAGCATAAAAGGCTAATCGAAGGACATTAATGGACACCAGATCGGGTAAAGGGGAAAAAATGAAAATTTTGGTCAACCTAAGGTGTGAGAACCCGTAAAACCCTAATATTTTTCCTAGGGTTTATTACCCCTTAATTGTATAATTTTTGCATTTCTGGCTTAGAAATATTTTCTGGTAGATTTTATGCGTAATTATAATTTTAAGATGATTTTTTTAGTATTGGAGAGTTTTTAGAAAATTAAGAGTAAATAGTGGACGTGGGACCCACTAGTGCGAAAAGTTCGGAAAAATTCGGCCAATAAGGTTAAGTTTCGGATACTGTGTAAAATTTATCGGGTGTTAAGAGATAAGTAGAATGTGTGAAATGATTGATGTGAGAGGGAAAAAGAAAGATAAAAATGCATTAATGAGTGTGACAAGTGTCACAATATGATTGGTTGGACTTTATGATTTACTATTCACATTTTTTACTTTTGACCAAAATTAGTTAATATCTCCAAAAATTCACAAAATTCACCATTTTCTTACCTTGTGTTGGCCGGCCCTCTCTCTTGCAAGAAGGAAGAAAGTTCATCAAATTTCAAGCTTCCATCTCACTCAATCTTCCACAAACAAGAGCTTAGACTAGATTTCACTCCATAAAAACCTTTCTTCTAGTGCTAATAAGTGTATTAGTGAAGTTGATTTGAAGAGCTAAGGTGTCCGCAATCCCTATCTCTCTTGATTTCTTGGTAAGTGATGCTTGAACACCCTACTACATCTAATGATGCTTATGTTTGGCTTAGAAGTGGCTAAAGTGATGGATTATATGATTTATTTCTTGGTTTGGCTTGATTTGGTGAAGTTTTTAATTTTATGATGAATTTTTTGGTTTAATATGAAATGGATGTTGTAGCCATCTTTGATGATTGGCAATGGACTATAATGACTCTAGTAGGTGTGAATTGTGGATAAATGCAACCAATTTTGGATTTGAAGTGAATTGTGAAAAGTTAGGGTTCATAATCCCCTAATTCTGTCCGGTTTTAGATCATAGGGTTAGAGGCCGAATTGGACTTTGCTCAAAACATAAAAGTTGTAGGTATTGATGTGTTTGAGGTGCCTGCAAAATTTCAGGTCATTTGGATTAGTGTAGAGTGAGTTATGTCGGAATTACTGTAGCTGTTCTGCTTTGGTCAGAATGCGAAAACTGCGTTGGTATTTGGCTATTTTGACTGGAATTGGTTTGGATTTTGAAGTTGGTGTCTTCTGATGAAATGTAGCTGGATGTCTTAGCTAACATATGCCTTTGGAATTTCGGCATTTGGACTTGTATAGACTGAGTTATAGTAATTACAGTTTTGTGTGATTTGCAAACCTGTTTTGGGAATTCTGGTATAGTATTTTGCATATTTGACCTAGTTGTGTTAGGAACTGGATTGAGTGACCTTCTACATTGTTATACCTCTGTTTCTTGGCTTCGAAATGGTGGGTCTTACACCCCCATCCGATAATTGTAGTGAGAGTTGTGCCATTACCGCATTATGAGGTCAAATCCGGTTTTATTATCAAGGCTTAAGTTAAAGCCCTCTCTTAATTTCTGGTTTGCTATCATGCTTGTATATGTTTATAAAACCCTATTGGGGTTGTGAATTGGTGTTGTTTATGGCTCGGTATGGAGTCTTATTATATGTGTTACATGTTCTAGGGCGTGACGGTAGCTCACGACGTCTTGGTGATCGTGGTGCATGAAACACCATTTACTTGGTTGGTGAGTATACTACTCACTTATTTATTACAATGTGACTTCGTGCTATGTGAATTGTTGCCTTGAAGGCTTATTTGGTTATTGGAAATGGTTGAGGTGGGGGTGTACTTGACCGCCCTCACCCCTTGTAATTTCCTTTATAGCTATTTACCGTTTTACTGAAATACTGCATTTGTTATATGAGATACTGAATTCCATGTATGGAAACTGAATTGGTGTCGTTTGGGACGATTGTCCAACGGCTTTACTGTATCACTGAACTCAACCCCGTTTGGTAGTCAATTGGATCGAGTCGGCGAGGGCTTGGTTGTGAAAATTGACATGCCACGGGACTGTACTGAGGAACCTTGTAGTAATGAGACTCTCGGTTCCGGTATACTCGAGTATTACCAAAAGCTACTGAAATGGAGTGCGGGCCCGGTCGGGGTATGATGGGTGGAAGGATTGGAAGTAAAGGGTGGTCTACGGTTTGGTACTTTTAACATTGACGGAGAATCAATGAGGTTGGATCAAGATTGCGAGCGTGGAAATGGGCTCTTGAGAGCCGACCGTATCCTTTTACCGTTTTGCTTCATTGCTCATTTGTGTACTTTAAGTGATTGGTTATGCTATATGCTATTGGTTGCTAATGTAGTAGTATACCACTGGGCTTTAGCTCATTCCGTGTCATTTGTTTTCCTTACAGGAGAATGAACTTTTTTGGAAAGATTGTGATAGTTGGATGACAAGTTGAGCTTTGTACATGTATTTTGAATAGCTCCTTGAGGGTGAAAACCCTAAGTGTTTTGATTCCACCAATGTTTGGTGTGTAATTGGCTAGTGATATATGTATGAACTAGATGGATATGTTTGGTAGGCCGTTTGGCTTGTAAATGTTGATTTCCAATGTATGTATATGCTTGGTTGTGGTTTGGATAAATTTCGGCTTCGATTTTCATTTTTTTTTATTTTACAATTTTAACTTGTTTGCGCGCAATGGTATGTTCCGGAACGTAATAGATTGACGTAACTGTACCGTTAGTCCTGGCGAGAGTTGGGCAGGCAATCCGCTAACCCCTTTGGTTCGCCTTAGGGGAAGGTGGGCTGTCACATAAGGAGCAGGTAAAGGCCAAAACTTGTGCCACACCAAATCGTGTCACGCTACTTAGTGAGATAGTGTGGCATAGTCTAGGTCATTGGATGTTTGAAAATCAGGTCTACCCAAACCTGAACTGCATGCAGGTAAAAAGAAGTTAATGTTCATTTGCCATTCTCTAAGGTTGTTTCTTGTTCATAAGATACATTTTGTTCTAGCTGCATGAGCTTCTTCTATTTTATTTTTATCCATTGAAAGTACATAATATCGGTTCAATACCACTTTTTGCTAAAAATCTAGATTATTGCACAGTACAAAACAAGTTTTATTGGGATTGAGAAATTTGATAAAAGATTTGAAATCTACTCAAATGGCCCCAATCGTTCAAATTACTTAAGAGACATTTGAATTTGTAATTTATCAATTATCTAAATAATTACAAATCTAAATACCGGTTAAATAATCTAGACAACTACAAAGACTTGAGAGGATTTCAAATTTTTTGCCAAATTTCTCAATCCAAATATAGAATATTGGCTATGGAGAAAAGCTCATTTAGGTACTTGTCAAGTCAATCTTTATCAAATTGAGTTAAATTTTGAGTGATTAATTTATAGCTGAAATTGAGCTTTAATTTTACACTTGACTCTACTTGATGAATCCTAGTTGCATATTGCATCATGTCCCTGTTTAAATAATTAATCGCAATTCAAGGTAACTCGCGAGTTAAACAGAAACTATATGCTTAAAAGAAAGTGTTAATATATGATTTTATGATGGTTCAAAATTACAGTGGTTCAAATAGTCATTGCGGTTCAGAACATAGTCAAAATTCAATTTTATATAAATAAACTACACAATAATAAGAATTACTTTTTTTCCAGGGATGGACTACTCTGCTTCAGGTGTCTTTAGGCGAATTTCTCAAAATAATGTTAAAATAAAAAATTATCACAAAAGTGGTGTTAATTGAGGGGTGTGTTTGCTTGAAGGGTCACTGCAAATAAGAAGTGAAGTTTCGTAAAAAAATTGTTTTAGTTTTTAATTTTTTTGCCAACAAAGTTAATAGAGCGGATATATATATATATATATATATATATATATATATATATATATATATATATATATATATATATATATATATATATATATTTTTAAAAAGCTTTGCCGCCCGTGAAATGAGCGGTGAAGAATATTATATTAAAAAGGAATTGCAGCAAAGCTCACGTGCGGCGATTCCTTTGTTAAGCCGTTAAAAATTCGTTAAGGTTACAATTGAAAATACAAAACTAATTAAAAATGAAATTTCGCCAAATCATCCATTTTTTAGTACTTTGGTTTTATCACTTCGTCATTAAATGCAGACTTTCGGGCTGATCCTCAAGCAAAGAACAAAGATCTCCGCTGAGGCGACGTAAGTATTCGATTTAGAAAGCTAGACCGCGTTGATTCTGAGAATTACTAAAGGAAAAAAATGAAAAAAAAAAGGTAGCTAGCGAAAAGATGAAGGATAGCAACTGCTAATCCATGGAAAATTAGTGGAGAGAAGCGTGGATGTTGGAGGACTTTCAGCAGAAGCATGATTTAGGAGGGCCTCCATTCAGATGCAGTGAGCAAGCACAGGTCCCTCCACCCAAGCTTGAGGGTGCCGTTGTCCTCAACACCCATCTCAAGGAAACATTCCAAGCAAAAGGGTGGCCTAGACTGCAGCATTCCCTCCACACACACACACACACAACGCGCCCCCCCACCCCCCAAAAAAACAAACAAAAAACACAAAAGCAAAAGAGCTACCCTGAAGCCTGACTGCTGAAGCATCTACCTCCAATTGTTGAACTTGACGTCGCTGCTTCTTGACGGACCACCAACAGCTAGCACATTCCGTATCTCCCTCGACAGGAGTTGCTGCTCCACTACTTGCCTTTCTTCACTCTCCTCCCCGTAGCAGGCACCCAGCGAGTCGAACAATGCCGAGTAATAGTGTATTGCCTCTACGAATTTTCCCAAGTATATTGCCGAGTAATAATTGTATCTTCCCAAGTAATAGTTGGTGTATTGCCGAGTAATAGTTGTATCGTTTGACCAGTCAAAAAAACTTTCCTCTATCGCCGCAAATGTCCGAATTTGCGGGTAATGAAAGATTGATCATCACCCAACGTCACAGTTGGAATCCTTTACGTCACTACTCATTCTAAATTCGATGTCGATTTTACTTATCACATAATGATAGAAGAAATTTAAATAAATAATATATGACAAATTAAATAAACAGAATACTTGACATAAATATAGAAATGACACTGAATTATCACGGAAAAAATGGCACTGAGGATCTCGTATGCGTCAGATGTGCGGTGAAAGAGAGAACTTTTTCAAACCAACGCAAATCAGATGTGCAGTTAAGGAAAAAATATTTTAATTCGTTAGTCCCAAATTAGTATTGGGGCAAATGATTTAAAAAACATTTTTTTCCTATTCCTTCATATCACGACCCTTGATCATATGTTAATCAACGGTCCATCTTTGATTAAAATAAAAAATGCAACAGAAAATCTTAACTTCAAAAATTCTTAAGTCGTGGAAAAAAATGAAAAAATAAATCGGATAACCTTTAAGCCAATATCGTGACTTGCAGCGACCCTTATGGTAGAAACACTCCCTACAAAACACCATTTTTGTGATAATTTTTTATTTAACATTATTCTGAGAAATTTGCCACATCATTGTATCAAGTTATATCCCGCAATTCTTTTTTTTTTTTTTTTTGGAGTTCTTGGATGCCTTTACTTATTCAAACTATATATCCCGTGATTCTTTTTTTTTTTTTTTTGAGTTCTTGGAAGCCTTTACTTCAGGTGCTTTGGAAATTTCATAGGTAAAAATTAATAGAGGAAGCACGAATAATTTACAAATCATTACTTCTAGAACAAAAGCACTTCCGTGAGAGAGTACAAGTAAACTGGCCCTCCATTCGGCCTTAATTCCGAGCCGAACGTACCATGAAAAAGCGGTACGCCTGTTATCCTTCGTCTGGATAAGGATTTAGTACAATTGTATTTTGTGTGATTTCATCTAATTATTGTACATATTCAAAGTTTTAGTGTACAAGTACATCAACATGTTATATTGAATATATGTTAAATATTTTATTCATATATATTATTTTTACCTTGAATATATAATGCAATGTAATTATATATCAAATAATACAAAAAGTATAACAACTGGACAGAATCGTATCAAACCTCAGCTGCACTGGGCCTTCTCTCCCTCACCAAATTAATTCAAAAAACAATACCCAGTATCTTTGAACCGAATTTAAATGAATAATGATATATATATATATATTATCGATTTACTCATCACTGGTCTATCATTGCCCAGTGGAGTGATGACGTGTATCAAGGTTTCTCTTCTCATCTTTAAGGAGTATTGACCTCCTACTCGCTACAAACGAATACACCACAAGATGGTGGAAAGCTTCTGCTTAAATAATTGTATGAAATATACATCAAACTACTAAAATTTATAATGCTTAATTATTATTTTTTCGAGTTCAGCTTAAATAATTCCTATACAAATCAATTAAGGTCTGATATTTGTAAGTTTCTAAACTAATAACTGGTTGTGAATTTGGAATGTTTCTATCTTGGGTAATCATTATTGTTAATTAACCAAGGTTTGTATATGCTAGAACTAATCATTATTGCTTTCTACCAAGGATCAAATAGAACTACTTAGATGAACATGTATAATTAACTAAGGACCAAATGGACTAATGCCCAATGATGTACAACATGGAATAGAATTAACTCCTTTTTATCCCTTTTTGATACGGTTTAGAAACGAAATACACAACTTGTTGACCAATTTGATGTTTTTCTCACGGAGATTTCATCATTCCAACAACCTTTGTCTTTGCGGAATAGTGTTCTTAATATTGCTGTTAAGCATTCCTATGAATATAACCATCATAATTGCTTATTAGTAATAGGGATAATTTTAGAAATCTCCCTTGAGGTTTCTAACACTTTCACTGACCTCCCTGAAATTTTAAAAATTATACTAACCTCCCTTGTCAGAAATTTGGACCCCATTACTTACATAAGATATAGTGAAAGTACTACTTTGCCCTAAAACATTATGCATTATTACAAATGGGTATTTGACAAAAAAAAAGGTTCGGAGAAATAAATAAGATCAACTAATTAAACCAAAATGACGATTTTTTCATCTCAAATTAGTAACCATAATTACAATCAAACAATGGCATCAATTGCTATCCTAAGATGGAGCTATTTTTGTGATTGATATCACTTAACAATAATCAGGACAGACAACCTTATATAATCTGCACAGATAGATCTTATGAGCAATAGAAATATAAGGATTTTCAAACTGGCTTATTTTGTTAAATCTTGTGTCAAGGCAAAACTAATTCATACCTTATGTTGCTGATTTGTTGACTAAGACTTGTATATTTTCTGCACCAATACTTTTACTTTCGCTTCGTCAACTACAATAAAAAGATAAATTTTTTACCCAATTTAGATGCTTATACTAATAATTTAATAACTTTATAGAGTTAGTTGTGTCTTTTACATGTAGTTGCAAATGAAAAAAATATGGCCATTACAATTTGCACTAACTATGTGCAAAGACGATTGTTGCTTCAGGTTATAATTGCTGCATCTTTTCAAATTTTATTCTTTACTAATACAGCTTGAGGACAATTAGAAAAGGGCATACATGGAAGAAAATTATCACCTCAGTCCTCAAAATATGTTTTTAATAGTACTTTTTTTTTTTAATTGGACTGATGCTGTTATCAAAACCTTAAGTTC